TTCAGCAGGGTTTTTAATTTAAAATCATTGCTTGGAGAAAAATGTCTGCCACCTACTGGAAAGCAGAAAGTATAGGTCATACCTCCCTAAACTGGAACACTCTGGCAACATGCGTAGTCAGGCGAGATGTTCCTGAACCAGAGATCCCCGGGCTGGGAGTCCAGTGGCAGCAGGCCAGTATCTGGCAGCCTCAGCCAGAGCCAGAAGCCCATGACAGCTCAGGGCTGAGAGCTCACAGCAGCCCAGGCTCAGCAGCAGCCTAGGACTGGGACCCTGTGTCAGCCCAGGGCCGGGGCTAGTGGTATGGGGGGCGGGGGCTGGCTGGGGCTGACCATGGAGCTGGGTCAGAGGCAGGGTGCAAAGCCGGTGGTGCAGACAGTCAGCAGGCTGGGAGGCCAGTGGCTGAGGGCCTCCACTGGTCGGGTAAATTTCCTTGTTCAGGACTGGTCTGTTACGTGGGTATTGGACCAAGGAGATCCAACTTGTATGGATTGGGTTCCACACACATTAAAATAAGAGTTAAAAACTTATCTTAGCTAGTAATAAATTCAGTTCAACAGGAAGTCATGAAAATTCCCATTGTCCTTCTTGGAATGGAATGGAATATTTTAAAAGTAAATAAATTAACTTTTTAATCCTATTAACTGTCTGGGGGTTGTATATATAACTAAGCCTATAGCAATTTTAATACAGTTTAATTGGTGTTTGCAAAAACATATCAGTGGAACACAGAACCCAAGATACTTAAATAAAAGCTGAGTTTGCACTGGAAACAGAGCCTAAAACTATCATAGCTTTAACTCAAACATATTTTTATTAAAGTATGAATGCTGGAGAATAGTTTACATACATTATAAAGCAACAAGCATATTTTCAAGAGCTGTGAGTCCTTTTCACCATGTCTCCATGCTCAATCTACATGCTTTAACATTGTCCATACACACAGGCATACATATGTGCTTTCACACAATGTATATAGACACACACAAAACACAGACACATAGCTTTCTTTTAAGGCTTCTGTAAGGTGCCCTAGTGCCCCTAACATTACCATGGTTATGAACAAAATTGTATAAAGGAGCAGCATTACCTGCAAACTATTCTTCTACTCTTAGTGAACCAAAGGTTTTATTTTTATTTGAGTTACGAACTTTTTAGTCCGTGGACCAGGAAAAGTGCAGGATAGCTTAATGTAATCTTCTCAACCAGAACAAACAAATCATTTCAAACCTGACTCTGAAAGGACCAGTGCCTTTTAATTATCAGACACTGTGCTATTTATGGTAACACCTCTGGCTTATATGACCCAGCTTTACAAGCAATGTCAAATTATATGTACTAGGTTGCTGATGGAGACTACTATGGCGTTAAGGCTATCATGTTCATATCATGTCAGACCTGAGGTTGATCATAATTTCCAGTTCAACTGGTTAAAGAACATGGGTCTTAGCAACATGTCACTCAACTCTCTGCAGGAAGAATGGAGCTGGTTCACTGTTTACTGTATTACCAGCTATTATAGAGTTTTTTCCCCTTTTTTAGTATTTTGGAAATTGTAATTAATGCTGTTTGGTGGGAGACGGGTGGCTGCAGGTTCATTAAGAAAATAGGCAAAATGAATAAAATAAAGGATAGCATATGATATAGTGTGTAAATATAAGCATCTTTTAAAAAAATCTGTGAAATATGAATAAACTGCAGAACGTCAGACCATTTGTCAAAAAGCCTAGAAATGGCTGTTTCAGCCTAGGTAAGGTTGAAAGATTTTGCTGTATGATGTGGGAATGGATTCATTTCTCTCAACCAAAGAACTTCCTTTTTCACTTGCTGATGCATGGCAGCGTCAGATCCCAGCTACTAATCCTAGAGGATCTACTGTTAAAATTGCTTGATGAGTTTCATAAGGCAAACTGTACTGAATCAACTTCAGACTGAACACCTGAATTATACCAGGCTGTAAAGGGTTGATGGCAAATGGGTTGGGGAGGTGAAATGGGGAAGGGGAGCTTTTTCCTCACATTTACATCAGCAGCAGATTTCAATGTAACATAATTACTTTAATGATGCATAGCTTTAGGTACTGATTTGCTTGTTTGATTTAAAAAGCTGGTCAGCCATGTGTTTGGCAGTCTTTGATTCCAGATATCAGTTGTTGCTTATTCATCTATCAGCTCCTATTCCCTAGGCAATTTTTGCCCTTGTTGCACCACCAATGAGTTCAGTCAACCATCATCAGATTCAAATTCATGAGACACTTCCTCAGATGAGCTATTCCTATGGATCCGGCCATCACTCTTCATGCTGTGGAAAGTCTTCTTAAAGGCCTCCATCATGGCATGAGCCAACTTCTTGGCCTCTAGCTTGCTCTCACACTCTACAGCATGGCAGTCCATCTGATAGGACAAGTCATCATTTATCTCTCTGTAAACCCAAGCAAAGATGTTTGGGCTGACATTGTGGTCAGCAGTGCAGTAGGCAATACGTGCCACCTGAAAGGTATCCATGTGGACTGTGGCTTCACCTTTGAGGTCCAGGTGATGAAGCCAGACTTGGAAGGGGCGGATTTCCAGAAGGGTATTGGCTGGGAAGATGTCCTCCCTGGCTAGTGTGTGCTTCTTCCATAATTCAATGACAGGTTTTTCTGTGCAGCCTGATAAAAATTGCATTCCTGTTGTGGATACCTTCCCCAAATATGTAACCTACAAAGATAAAAGAAAAGATAGACACTACATCAAACATAGTCTTTTGAATTTATTTTTATCATACCATTAATTGAGCTCTTTATTTAGATTGATGGTCATTTTCTACACATTCAAATGAAGTTTTCAGATTGTCAGCAATGGATTAACATCTACAAATAGTATTTTTAGTCATTCATGCTGGGATTCTCAATGGAGTTAGGAGCCCAGTTCTCACTGAATTTCAATTTTGGGCAACTAACTTCCTTAAGCTCCTTTGAAAATCTCCACCTTAAAGCCTACTATAAGAAATTGTCATGATTTGCGGATTCACAGCTCTGTGTATTAATGGGTCTCCTGTCGCAGCATGGGGGCGAGGTGGAGGGAGGAGAAAAGTAGGGACTGGGAAACAGGTGGAACTCAAGCAGTTCCTGGTCCCCACAGTATATCTGGGAGCCACAGGGAGCTCCCAGTAGTCAGGAATTTCAACATTCATAGTGGAGGCAGGAGCGCAGGCACTGTGAATGGCGAGGGTTTCCTGTACTGCTACTCTCACTCATGCCAGCAGCCCCTAGAAAGCCAATGGGACTGATCATGTAAGTATGGTCAACAGAGACCTAGAGGCCACATAACTGAACTATGGTGCTTACCCACAGCTTTTTTTTTTACCTTATAATGTTCATATTATTTTTGTTAATACATTTCAAAGAGTAGTTTTACTTACACAGAAACATACATAATGTATAACAGTGCAAGTACACAATGTGGTCCAAAGTGCATGACCACAACAAAAAATATAAAAACTATTCTACTGCATTTTTCAGCATGATTTGGTTTGTTTCTTCCACTGCTTCTACTTAATTATCCAGAGATATCTAGAAACTAGTCAAAATGTGACATCTTTCTACTGCCAGCTAAAGGGCTGAGGCATTCACTACTTCAATTTTATAGAAAATATGTCATTAAATAAAGCAGTAATAAATTTAGCCTAGTTTAACCACACCAGCTGTCTCTGCTCTAGTGTCTAACTCCATTGGATAAATATTCAAAGGTAAGAATCCCGTTAACCAATTTCTGTAGGAAAATGACAAGCCTTGACTAACATTTGTTCACATGTCAAAATGTAACTCATTCTACAGCCCAAATTAAAACTTTAAACATAGCAAATGAGAATGCACCTAAATCTTTAGAGATAAAGAAACACTGATGAGTTATATTTTGAATGGAGATTTTATTAACTGGAAAGTTAGATTTTAGGTTGGTCAATATGATTTAAATATAGATTATACATAGCATTACCCTCTATCACTGTTGTCTGCAAGATTCATTTAAGAACAAGTATCATACAAATAAAAGCAAAATTAGTTTGTCCAATTTTAAATATAACGCACATAAAACTATAAACAGATCAAGCATTATCCTGTTTGTGACAGTTACCAATACTAAATATATTTGTAAGTATCATGTACACTATATCATTTAATGTCTACAAAATAGTGCTATATATTTTTATTTTTATCTAAGTTTTAAAAAAAGGAAAATACATTTTTCACATGTTTAAATACATTAAAGATGCAGCTGTAGAAAATACTGGATTTACATTTCATACAAAACAAAATTATTTCAAAAACAATTCTGGGTTTTGCTGCAAGCTTTGTTAAACTCACTCAGAGACCTAAATTAGGCTATTATTTCAGAAAAGATTACAAAATAGTGTGGCTTAATCATGCCTGCCAAAAAAGCAAATTCATAACTGAGACATTTCAGGACAAAAAGTTGTATTCTCCTCCAATAAATATTCATGGCTTTCATTGGGAATATTTTAAATCTAATAAAACCTTTATATTTTGCGGAACAGTGAGAACTACGGCAGCTAAAACTGCTAGGGCAAGTCCTAGCAGTGCATTGTTTGATTTTATTATACTAGTGAGGAGAGAATAAAGTATCTAACAGCTCATAGTATCTAACACCTACAAATAAAGTATCTAACTCCTACAAATAGTACATAAAAGACCAAGCAGCAGTTTTACTGCAGTGAACCATGCAGTAGTTCAAATGTATTCATAGTCATAGTTCTAGTAAAATAATAATAATATACATGTGGAACTCAGCATATTCACAAACTATCCAATATATTCTCTAAAAATCCATTATGTTCCATTTAAAATCCACAAATAGTTAACAAAAGATTAGCACATTGTAAAGCACTTTGCACATCTGGGGCCTGATCCAAAACCCAATGCAGTCATGGTGAATCTTTCTGTTGGTTTCAATGAGATTTACATCAAGTTTAGAAAATGCAAAGAAGAAGAGTGAGCCTTCTTCTTTAACACATTGTCCCAGCCAACCTATTGCCCTCAATTCTACTTCATAAGTGGGATCCTGCCACAAATTTTCTGGCTTTGTCTTTCTAAGCTTTTGCTGGTTAGGGGACACTGATCTTGCTTGCTAATGTGAAGAAATATGAGCACGGAATGAATACAAACATTGACTGGGGCAAGAGTGGTGGCCAATTTTTTATATTTATTTTCTCAATGGTCAACTCTAAAGTAAGCGAAGATGGACTATGTTGTATTGTGTAGGCGTGTCTTGCAAGCAGAGGAATTTGACTTATTTGTCACAGGGAAGGGTAGCTAAACAGAGGATTGATTTTATCACATTCACTGAGCACCTACAAGCTTCTAGATTTTCTGTTCTGACCAGTTAATCTTTCCTCATGCTTCTTTTGCCATTAACCATCTGTTGTATCTCAGTATATACACTTTCTAAATGTAAAGTCTAAAACAAACTTTCCTCCGGGAAAGTATTCTATATAAACTTGTGTGAAAGCTGGGTGCCCCTTACATGGAAGAGCTGTGAATTACTCTGAAAACCAGAAAATGTCAGCACCAATAATGATTGAGAAGAAGGATGAGGCTTGTGGCAAAGGCATTGGAATGGGACTTAAATGATGTGGTTTATATTCCCAGCTTGACCACAGACTGTTTCACTGTCAGTAAATAATTTAATCTATTTATACTTCAAATCCCCATTTTATAGACAGGGAATAATACTATTATCCCATGAGGATATATTCATTGGTATTTGCGAGGTTCTAAATTACTACAGCAATGAGTACCAGAGAAGAGACTATAAATAAATACAACTTTTACCTTTTAGATTCACAGTCCTGCTACATTTATTTTTCGTAGAAACATTTACCTCTAGCCATGTATTTAGACATTTAACAAGGAATCAGATTTTTTTCCCCATTTGATGCCTGAGCATTACATTAGTATAGGACATTTTATTAAAGACAGATTGCAATATACATCATTACTTCACAGTCCCCACTATTAGATATGGAGCAGAGATGCAGAAGGCCGGCAAGAGTTCTTGAAGAGTTGACATAAAAAAAATCAGCATTCTTTTCATAACATCAAAGGCCTCTTTATAATTAAATGCCGTCTTAAGTGTTGTAAATTTGACATTAAACCTTCTGGAGCTAGCTACTTTAGCAACCTGCCCGTTAGCATCTGCACAATTGCAGGTTTTGAGCCAACATAAACTAAAACTGGCAGAGGATAGATTTATTATGCATTCCTCTCCGGGTTCTCAGTTACAAGGTTATTCCGCAAGTAAGGTTACTATACGTTGGCTTCTACCACCATTTAATTCTCATTACAGACACATACTTTATAACCTTCACCTCACTTACATACACAAAACCAGGCCAAGCACATCGTTACAGAATACAGATATTAGAACAAACCATTTTTCCTTTTCCAACACTTTCGAATTCACTAATGGAAGATCAAAGAACAGATCATCCCATCCATTTTGAGATGCAATGGGGAACAGGTTTAGAGTACAAGCCATGAAATCTGGGTAATCTTAGGACCCTCAAAAGTAATCATCCTTATTTCCCACCAAATGTGATCCTAAAATGTTTGGTCACACAACACAATCTGCCACCTTTGGCAAAACTTCAGTGTGTTTCCCCTATGGGTGAAGCCATGTGCAGTGGGCAGAGTTGTGTGGTACACTGGGTGGAGAGCTACTTGTTACCAAGGCCTGAGTTCTATGCCAATGCAAATGTGGGTCAGTGGGGTAGGAGGAAGCTGTGTGGTACAGTGGGTGGAGCTCTATGCATTCCTCTCCGGGTTCTCAGTTACAAGGTTATTCCGCAAGTAAGGTAACTATACATTGGCTCTGTGCAGAGGACAGGCTATATGGTACACAGTAGCATACTAGGGGTGCAGCTGCTAAAGGGCGTGTGTGCCAATGATCTGGGAGGGCAGCATTTTCAGCAGCAGAAGACTACATCATGAGCATTAAAACATTTTTTCTTCTCCCAGATATCTGCTGCCTTAGGCAGATGCTTAGCTGGCCTACAGTGAGAGCAGCCCCAGGCCACTATACTATGGTGGCTTTTTTGCAGGATTTTTGTGTGGGGTTAAAGAAGAAGATGCAATATGTAGCTATGTGCTTAGGAAATCTAGCAGAATTTCCAGTGGTTGTACAGCAACAAATAGGCATGTCAGAGAAATCACGTAAGTACAAAAAATATCCACATCCACTCAAAATACTCCCCTAGTGTATATGTAACTTTGCCAGCCGTGGCAGAAAAGTTACAGGCTTGAATGTTCTGACTTTTATGTGCTTAACTCTTCAACAGAGTATTGTATTAAAATGGCTTCCAGCTTCAGCCATTTGGGATACACGGGACTATACATGTCATTCAGAACATACAGGAAAACTATTTCCTTTCACATTCACATGTCTCAAAATAGCTGAACCATTTTTTCCTTATGCTTTCCAAAATTGATAATCTTTGGGCGGAGATCAAGTATGGGATAATTTCCATCTAAGATGAAAACATTCCAGAAAGCAACATGCAACCAATCAGTTCCCTTCCCAGAAATATTTCCCATTTTGCATTCAGAATCCCCCACTTAACAGACCATTATGTTCTTTTGTTGTCTTATTGAAACAGGCCATTTTGCCTTTACGGCTTTCCCTCAGATTTCAGTGAAAACACC